TTACGCACTCATTTGTACATGCGACCAGTAGAAGCAGCGAGAGAGCGACGCGAATATCCTTTTTCGTTCAAATGATCGCAGGTGTAGGAATCTTGTAGCTCGGGAATCAATTGAGCGCGCGGAGATCGATGTATGGCGAGACGACGATGCGTGGCGTGTCCGAGCAGTCGACGGCCTAAAGTCGGCAGGTCACCACCCAGGCCGAGTCGATCCACCCAAGCGCGGTTAGGTGGGGACGGCCGATCAACATCGCGCTCACTCGGATGGACCCCTATCGATGCTCTATCAATACGAAGCACACCACAGCCTAAAATCAAGTCGCAGGGTGAAGTGGCCGCTGCCATTTTAGCGACGTCTCCGGTGACATGCACGTTTTCGTCATCAATGCCGCTAATTTCGTGGCGAGTCGACTGTACGAAGTCTAGCCGACGCACTATTGCATCGGGAGGATGTTAATCCTGCTTGGTTTGAAAGGAACGACGACTGTATACTCCGAGGACAGCGAGAGCCAGCGTACCATGCACATGACGAACTGATGACGCCTTGTAGGTGTCCGCAGCGGTGCATGATTAGTTTAAACGTCAACGGTCTATTTATCCTAGAAATACAAGCAGAACTTTATGAAAGCGTAGCGCATGCCCACGTGATCGTTGTCGTGAACGGGATAATTCTGCCCGGCCGGTTGAGCTGACACGACTGGTAGCTTATCGCTTGCTCGCATTCCTTGTCGTCAATTGCTTTACTGCGTAACCAGCGGTTAAGTCGCTTGCATTGCAAGCCACGTAAAATATTTATGACTGCGATCTTCTCGGAGTCAACACGAACATCGTTCCTGCTGACGTGACTTCCAAGGGCCGGGTCTTCGGGAGCGCAGAAGATGCACTTTTCAGGTTAGTGCTAGCCTTGTTGTCCCACATGACTGGGAGAACCTGTCGCTGCTTCGAAGATGTATCTTGATATTGGCCATGCCGCCATTGGCACGACTAATTACACATTTATTTTTCCTAGCTGATCGGCGGAAAGTTTAATCAGAACATACGTATGTTAGAAATTATAGCGTATTTCATGTTTGCTTTCAAGCATCTAGCCATGATCAAGCTACGCTAAAATGCTAACGACCTATGGTGACGAAGATTTTGTCAAGTCAAAATCGACTAACATATCGGTGCAGTACCCTA